AGGGGGGGGAGAGTCTCGGGGTCTTTGGCCGGGTTGCCAGCCTCCAGGTGGGGCCTGGAGCTCTCCTGGCGTTCAGAACCTGGAAAGGTTAGTCAAATAGAAAGGAGGGCCAACAATAAAAGCTTCATATATATATCTATAGTATATAAAAAGATACTAAAACAAAGAATTTAAAAATAAATATATATAAAAATATTTAAGGGCCCAATCACGCCTCATGTAAAAAATACCAGAATCTAACCCACAAAAGCCAATGGACCTGACCTGACGCATTTCGGCCTGCTTAGGCCTCCTTCAGAGGTCAAACACAGTGAGGAACATATTGGCTCACTGCGTCAGGTCATGTCCATTAGCCCTTGTGTGTTCGATTCTGGTATTTTTACATGAGGTGTGATTGGGCCCTTATATATTTCTAAATTCTTTGTTAATAAATACATGTATCTTTTTATATACTATATATATATTAAGCTTTTATTGTTGGCCCTCTTTTCTATCTGACTAACCTTTTCAGGTTCTGGACCCCAGGTTTCTAGCTTCAGTTCCCCCCCCCCCCTTTTGTCCCAGGTCTCCTGGCATTACCACGGAGATCGGTTCTGTATGAGAGAGTGGCTGCTTTGGAGGATGGACTCTATGGTATTCTGCCCCGCTGAGGTCCCTCCCCTTCCTACACCCCAGCCTTCCCAGGCTCTACCCCCAAACCTCCAGGAATTTCCCATCCTGGAGCTGGCAACCCTGCCTGGCCATGGGGGCAAGAGAGCGGGCGCACTGCGGGGGAGGCGGCGGGACCCCTTTCGGCATGCCGGACAGAGGGCGGTGCTCGGCGGCTCGCCTTCAGAGGCGGGTCTCCGTCGGGTTGGTAACACCGTCGCATGCAAGGCCTACTGCCTGTAACAAAGCCGGGCATGGCCGGCAGGGGTCTCGAGCCGTGCCCGTCCCGCTGCCGGAGCAGCAGGCCAGGGTCACGTCACTTCAGGGGAGTCCACAGCCGGGGCTTCACAGGAAGTCCTTCGTGATGGCTTCGGCAAAGTTGGGGGCCGCCATGAGGATGCTGATGGAGCAGATGATGTGGATGAGGGCGAAGGTGACCAGGAAGAGGCGGTCGATGACGGCCGCGGCGAACTTCCACTGGCTGCAGGTAGCCTGGGCGGCGTCCCGCCCCCGGAAGCACTGGGCCACGTAGTGTAGTTCCTCCAGGATGCGGCCGAGCTCGGGGGCGCTTAGGAGCTCCTCCGGGGTGGAGGCCTGCAGCTCTGGCGACGGGAGAAAGGGCCGCGGCACCTTGGGAGGCTTGGCAGGCGGCGGTGCCACCGGGCTGCCCATGTAAGGGAGGTTGCCGTTGGCGATGGCCGGTGTGCCTTGTGGCTTCGGCGTGGCGCTGCCTTCACTGTTGTCGGAACTGCAGCTCAGCAGGCTGGGGGCGCAGCGGGGCCGCCCCACTGTCTCCTCCCCGGGTTGGCGCATGCGCAGCAGCCAGGCGCCCCAACGCAACACCACCACCTGCACCTGTGGGGAGAAAGTAAGATATTGAGAGGAGAGCCAGGGGTCTTCTGTGTTCTCATTTTTGCTCATTGTGTGTCCCTCACTATTGCTTCACATTTTCCCTTTTCTGCATGTTTATTTATTTATTTATTTATTTCATTTATACCCCGTCCTCCCCGCACGGGGGCTCAGGGCGGCTTACAAGACACAGAGGTGTAATACAACACAAGTTAAACACATGTGTTTTGCTCCCTCTAGTGGTCAATCCGATATTACATCTCTGTATTTCTGGCATTTCTCCCTGCAGATTAATGCAGGGAGATATGCTGGACATACAATGGTGTAATATTGAACTGACCACTAGAGGGAGCAAAATGTGTGCAGAAAAGGAAAACAACCCTGAAGCAATAGGGATGCAGAAGCGATCAAAATGAGAATGCGGAAGAGCATCCAAACCTGTGGGGCAAGGACAGACCAGCCAGTTCGGTGTCGTGGTTAGGAGCACGGACTCTAATCTGGGAGAATCGGGTTTGATTCCCCACTCCTCCACATGCAGCTGCTGGTGTGACCTTGGGTCAGTCACAAGATCTTTCAGAGCTGTTCTCTCAAGGGCAGTTCTTGAGAGAGCTCTCTCAGCCCCAACTACCTCACAGGGTGTCTGTTGTGGGGAGGGGGAAGGGAAAGGAGACCGTAAGCCACTCTGAGACTCCTTCGGGTAATAAAGGGTGGGTATAAATCCGACCTCTTCTCTTCTCTCTTCTGGGAACTTACTGGGAAATTTCCCGATGGGCCACTGCCCTAGAGAGCAACTGGTGGCGAGGAGCAAGCATTATGCCCGACCTTCAGCGGCCGTTTGCCAGTCAACAATGGCAACTCATGTCAGTTCCAACCAATTGTCTCTTTTCAGCACTGCTGCCAGTTTGGGAGAGAACGCAGTGGGTTGAGGACAACTGAGGCCCATAGGTGAACACGTGAAGCTGCCTTATACTGCATCAAACCCTCAGTCCATCAAGGTCAGACTGGCAGCAGCTCTCCAGGGTCTCAGGCAGAGAGAGGTCATTCACAGCACCTCCTGCCTGGTCCTTTTTAACTGGAGATGCCGGGGACTGAACCTGGGACCTTCTGCATGCCAAGCAGAGGCTCTGCCACTGAGCTATGGTCCCTCTCCCCACCCTTGGTCCATCAAGATTGTTTGCTCAGATGGACAGTGGCTCTCCAGGGTCTCAGGCACAGGTCTTTCACATCACCTCCTGCTCGATCCTTTTAAGAAGAAGAAGAAGAGCTTGCCCAAAGGCGTCTCAGAGCGGCTCACAATCACCTTTCTCTTCCCCTCCCCACAACAGACACCCTGTGAGGTCGGTGGGGCTGAGAGAGCTCTTTCAAGGACTGCTCCTTTTTCAAGAACAGCTCTTATCAGAACTATGGCTTGCCCAAGGTCATCCAGCCAGGTGCAAGTGGAGGAGTGGGGGAATCAACCCCGGTTCTCTCAGATTGGAGTCCGCGCACTTCACCACTGCACCAAACTGGCTCTTTAGTTGGAGACGCTGCCGGGGATTGAACCTGGGACCTTCTGCCTGCCAAGCAGATGCTCTGCCACAGAGCCATGGCCCCTCCCCTTAAAGGCCCATTCCCTAGCATGGGTCTTCCCAGGGCTATTTTTGGGCAGAAACGCACAGGAAAGGAGTTCCGGCTGGCTCCCGAGTTGACCACGCCCAGCAGGAACTCATTAGCATAATAGGCCACACCCAATAGCAGAAACTCATTAGGATTGGCTGCATTAGGGGTGTGGCCTAACATGCAAAGGAGTTCCTGCTACAAAAAAAGGCCCTGGGTTTTGACAACAAACAAGGTAAACAGAATAAGAAGCAAAAGGTAGGTGTGGTTGGATGACCACACTTCTGGTAACATGGGGGTGTGGCCTAATGTGCTAATGGGTTATGCTCTCATGGGTGTGGCTGGATATGCTAATGAGTTTCTGTTGTTGGGTGTGGCCTATTATGCTAATGAGTTCCTGCTGGGCTTTTTCTACAAAAAAGAGCCCTGGGTCCTCCATACACAAACAGGAAGGGAAGGGCCGATGAGGGAAGAGAGCGGAGGCCTAGAGGGCTGCAAAGGACTGCCGGGTGGGGAGAAGGGTCTCGAAGATGGTGCTACTCAAATCTAAAACACACATTTCAAGAATGAGAATCGGACACATGGTTTCCAGCTCCAGGTTGGGAAATTCCTGGAGATTTGGGGGTGGAGCCTGGGGAGGGCGGGGTTTGGGAAGGGGAGGGTCCACAGCATGGTATAAAGAGTCCACCCTCCAAAGCAGCCATTTTCTCCAGGGGAACTGGTCTCTGTCGTCTGGAGAGGAGATGGAATTGCAGGAGATCTCCAGGTCCCACCTGGAAGTTGGCAGCCTGGTGTCCTCCCTGCCTTCGCCCAGCAGGGCTTCACACATTCCTGCACACACATCTGTTCATTTATTTGAGGGTATATAACCTGCTTTTCAACTAAAAAAGAAAGAGTTTTCAAAAGCAGGGAAATGTTAAAAACCAACACACAGACACGACCACAGGTCGCGCTTTTCTGCTGCTAAAGGTAAAGGTAAAGGTTCCCTTGCTCGAAAGCCAGTCGAATCCGACTCTAGGGTTGCGGTGCTCATCTCCGTTTCAAAGCCGAAGAGCCAGCGCTGTCCGAAGACGTTTCTGTGGTCATGTGGCCGGCATGACTAAACACCAAGGCGCACGGAACGCTGTCACCTTCCCACCGAAGTGGTACCTCTTTATCTACTTGCAATGTCTTGCTTTCGAACTGCTAGCTTGGCAGGAGCTGGAACTAGAGATGGGAGCTCACTCCATCATGCGGCACCCGGGTCTCGAACTGCTGAACTACTGACCTTCCACAGCCTGCAGTTCAGTGTCTTAACCACTTGAGCCACCGCTGCTACAGACAGACTAATCTCGATCTACCCCGTACACAGACTCACATTAATCCAACAACCGAGGGAAAACGCAAGAGAGATCAGCTGAATAATCTGAACCGCAGGGAGAAAAAGACGAACTCACCCTGAACTCTGTCAGTGCCGAATACTCGTTTGCATCGAAACGCATTAAGGTACTTTCGCACAGAAATTTCGCACAGACGTTTTGCATAGAAAACGCATTAAGGTACTTTCACAGGTAAAAGAATCCTAAACCATCAATCTTACATGCCTTCCTTTGCAAGAGATCAAACTGGATCCTGTCCCTGTCCCTGTCCTACGGCTCCACTGAGCTCCGCTCCTTTGCGCTCCTGCAGGAAATGACCCCTGCCTTCATGTCAGATCATGACTGGGACAGAGTGCCCAATGAGAAAAACATCAAAAGAGCCCTGCTGGATCAGGCCAGGGAGGGTCCATCTAGTCCAGCATCCTGTCTCACACAGTGGCCTCAACCAGTTCCTCTGGAGGGCCAAGAACAGGGCAGAGAGGCTGAGGCCTTCCCTGAGAAGAACCTCAGAAGAGCCCTGCAGGATCAGACCAGTGAAGGACCATCTAGTCCAGCCTCCTGTCTCACACAGTGGCCAGCCAGTTCCTCTGGAGGGCCAACAACGGGGCAGAGAGGCCGAGGCCTTCCCTTGAGAAGAACATCAGAAGAGCCCTGCTGGATCAGACCAGTGGCCCATCTGGTCCAGCATCCTGTCTCACACAGTGGCCAACCAGTTCCTCTGGAGGGCCAACAACAGAGCATGGAGGCCAAGGCCTTCCCCGATGTTGCCTCCTGGCACTGGAATTCAGAGGTTGACTGCACCTGGATGTGGAGGTTCCCCCTGGCCACCATGGCCAGTAGTCACTGAGTTGGAAGCGTCACCCCCGATGTGCTGATGTCACCAGAAGTGACGTCACGCATCACCCGGAAATGACATGGGCACGTCAGGGGCGACGCTCTGGTTTTTCGGCAAAACTCTATGGTAAAACTGCCCTCAAACCATAGAGTTTTGCCCAGAAACCAGAGCATCATCTCCCCCCCCCCCCAAAACGTGCCTACATCACTTCTGGGTGACTCTGGCACGTCGCCGGACGTTGCTCTTGGGTGGGGGGACGGAATTTCCTCCCAACGGCCACCTGGCTGGCAGCGGGGAGGAGCCCGCAAAAGCTGGGGACCCCCTGCCCCCAACTGGGGAATGGTAACCCTAGGGAGATCTGCAGGCCTCTCCGGGGAGCTGGAAACGTCACGCTCAGCAGAGGAACTACGGCAAGTGAGAGGGACCCCTCCCCTGCTGTGGGAAGCAAAAGAATGGGTCATTTGAGAGGGTGAGGAGAAGGGGAGGAGAGAGCCGGGTAAGACACCTGCGGATGAGGACAGAGGAGCGGATTTCGGGAAGGGCGAGGAAGGAAGGGGAAGGGAGGCGGCAACCCATGAGGGATCAGGAAGAAGAAGAAGAAGAGATTGGATTTCTACCCCGCCCTTCACTACCCAGAGGTGTCTCGGAGCGGCTTACGATCCTCTTTCCCTCCCCTCCCCGCAACAGACACCCTGTGAGGTAGGCGGGGCTGAGAGAGCTCTTTCGAGAACAGCCCTAGATGGAACAACTCTGAGAGAACTTGGGACTGATCCAAGGTCCCACCAGCAGCTGCATGTGGCGGAGTTGGGAATCAAACCCGGTCCTCCCAGATTAGAGTCTGCGCTCCTAACCACGACACCAAACTGGCTCTCAAGGGGAGGAGCATGCAGTGGGTCGGGCGAGGATCGGCAGCGCACAGATCCTCACCGAGAGAGACGGCCACTCACCCATCTGGGCATGCAGCCGCCGTCGGGGTCGTGGTGATGGTACTGGAGCACGAAGACCGTGGCGACCACCGAGAGCCCGACCATCCCCATTGTGCTGGCAAAGTACTGCCCTGGAAAAGAAGCAGAAAGGAAGGGGGGCGGCAGAAGAGCGTGTGGATCAGGACCAGTGTTCCCTCTAAGCAGAGTCAGTGTGAGCTAGCTCACGGTTTTTCAGCCTCCGGCTCACACATTTTTGTCTTAGCTCAGGAAGGGGATGCCTCCAGAGCAAACTAATGTATGCAGCCGCCAAATCGCTGGCTCACAACTTTAATGCCAGCGGCTCACAAAGTAGAATTTCTGCTCACAGGACTCCACAGCTTAGAGGGAACATTGATTCAAAACCCTGGAAGTCTTGGCCCCCCCAGGTATCGCAAGAGGGCTCCTCGATTCCAATCCCACCTTTCTACGGGGTATTCGGGGTGACTTACAACAGTAAAGTAAGAACTTCAGTATTCCTTTCCTCTATTTATTTACTTGACTTATACCCCGCCGTCCTCCCCAGAGCAGCTTGTGTTCCTCCATTTTATCCTCGCAGGAATCCTGTGATTCAGCCGACTGTGAGGGATTGGCCCAAGGTCACCCAGCGAGCTTCAGTGGCAGAGCGGCGATTCGAAACTGGGTCTCCCACATCCTAGTCTGACCACGACTCCACTCTGGCTCTCTCTTGCCCTAAAGTATGCAGGCCACAAGACGAGGAGCCTCTTTCAAGAAGAAGCTAACCATAAGAACATCAGAGTAGCCCTACTGGATGAGACCAGTGGCCACCCAGTTCCTCTTGAGGGACAATATACAGGTCATGGAGGCCAAGGCCCTCCCCTCAGAAGAATATCAGCCCTGCTGGATCAGTGGCCAACCAGTTCCTCTTGAGGGACAACAAACAGGCCAAGGAGGCCAAGGCCTTCCCCTGATAAGGACCTCAGAAGAGCCCTGCTGGATCAGACCAGTGAGGGTCCATCTAGTCCAGCATCATGTCTCTCACAGGGGCCACCCAGTTCCTCTTGAGGGACAACATACAGGTCATCGAGGCCAAGGCCTTCCCCTCAGAAGAACATCAGAAGAGCCCCACTGATAAAATGAACGGGACTGTGGACTACATCATGGTATATTATGTACTATCTGTTTGCTGTATCTATTGTCCTGCTCTTGCTGCATTGCTTTCTGCCTTTGTGATGCCCTTTTCTGCATCGTTTGACGTATCATGTGTAATTATTTTTGCTCTGTTTCAAATTGCTGTAGTCCTAGTCATGTTGCATTGCTTATTAGATGTCTCATGTGAATTATTATATTGACTTATACTGTGTAATCTATTCTGAGCCTCAGGGGAAGGTAGACTATAAAGTAAATAAAATAAATAAATAAAGTGCAAAAAAAAAGAACAGCCCCGCTGGATCAGACCAGTGAGGGTCCATCTAGTCCAGCACCCTGTCTCACACAGTAGCCAACCAGTTCCCCTGAAAGTCCAACAACAGGGCATAGAGGCCGAGGCCTTCATAAGAACATCAGAAGAGCCCTGCTGGATCAGACCAATAGTCCATCTAGTCCAGCACCCTGTCTCACACAGGGGCCAATCAGTTCCTCTAGGTGGCCAGCAACAGGGCATAGAGGCCGAGGCCTTCCCCTGGGAAGAATCTCAGAAGAGCCCTGCTGGATCCTTTTATCCCATGATTTTTGAGCTTACTTAGGAGCCTTTAATGAGGAACTTTATCAAAAGCTTGTAGCCGCCACCACCTCCTGTGGCAGTGAATTCCATGTGTGAATCACTCTTTGGGTGAAGAAGTACTTCCTTTTATCCGTTCTAACCCGACCGTTCAGCAATTTCATGGAGTGCCCACGAGTTCTTGTCTTGTGAGAAAGTGAGAAAAGTACCTCTTTCTCTACCTGCTCTATCCCATGCATAACCTTGTAAACCTCAATCATGTCACCCCTCAGTCGTCTTTTCTCCCTTTCTCACAAACCCTAACCCCAAACCAGTCCGCATCCCGGCCTCTTTCCCGTACCGATGAGCGGGATGGAGTCCGATGTGGCCGGCATGACCTCTGCCACCAGCAGCATGAAGACGGTGAGGGACAGGAGGACGGTGATGCCTGCGGAGGGAGAAAGGAACAGGGCCGCCCTGATCAATCGTCGGCTACGTAAGAACAGAAGAGAAGCCACGTTGGATCAGGCCAGTGGCCCGTTCAGTCCAGCGCTCTGTGTCACTCAGTGGACAAAACCGCCAAGGGTTGTCAAGGCACAGTTGACTTGTGGGGAGCTCAGTGTTTTCAAGGCAAGAGACGTTCAGAGGTGCTTTGCCCCTTGCCTGCCTCTGCGTAGCAACCCAGGAATTCCTTGGCGGTCTCCCATCCAAGTCCTAACCAGGGCCGACCCTGCTTAGCTTCTGAAATCTGACAAGATCGGGCCAGCCTGGGTGATCCAGGTCAAGGCAGGAGACAAACAGAGGTGGTTTGCCATTACCTGCCTCTGCGTAGCAACCCAGGAATTCCTTGGCGGTCTCCCATCCAAGTCCTAACCAGGACCGACCCTGCTTAGCTTCCGAAATCTGACAAGATCGGGCCAGCCTGGGTGATCCAGGTCAAGGCAGGAGACAAACAGAGGTGGTTTGCCATTACCTGCCTCTGCGTAGCAACCCAGGAATTCTTTGGCGGTCTCCCATCCAAGTCCTAACCAGGACCGACCCTGCTTAGCTTCCGAAATCTGACAAGATCGGGCCAGCCTGGGTGATCCAGGTCAAGGCAGGAGACAAACAGAGGTGGTTTGCCATTACCTGCCTCTGTGTAGCAACCCAGGAATTCCTTGGCGGTCTCCCATCCAAGTCCTAACCAGGGCCGACCCTGCTTAGCTTCTGAAATCTGACTAGATCAGGCTAGCCTGGGCTACCCAGGTCAAAGCAAGAGACCAACAGAGGTGGATTGCCCCTTGCCTGCCTCTGCGTAGCAACCCAGGAATTCCTTGGTGGTCTCTAATCCAAGTACTCACCAGGACCGACCCTGCTTAGTTTCTGAAATCTGACTAGATCGGGCTAGCCTGGGCTACCCAGGTCAAGGCAAGAGACCAACAGGAGGGGGTTGCCCCTTGCCTGCCTCTGCATAGCAACCCTTGACTTCCTTGGAGGTCTCCCATCCAAGTCCTAAGAGTTGACCCTGCTTAGTTTCCAGGATGTGGCAAGAACGAGCTAGCCTGGGCTACCCAGGTCAAAGCAAGAGATGTTAAGAGGTGGTTTGCCCCTTGCCTGCCTCTGCATAACAACCTTGGACTTCCTTGGTGGTCTCTCATCCAAGGACTAACCAGGGCCGACCCTGCTTAGTTTCTGAGATCTGACGAAATCGGGCTAGCCTGGGCTACCCAGGTCAAAGCAAGAGACCAACAGAGGTGGTTCGCCATGGCCTGCCTCTGTGTAGCAACCCTGGACTTTCTTGGTTGTCTCCCATCCAAATACTGACTGGAGCTGACTGTGCTTAGCTTCCGAGATCTGACAAAATGAGGCTAGCCTGGGCCATCCCGGTCAAAGCAAGAGACCAACAGAGGCGATTTGCCACGGCCTGCCTCTGCGTAGCAACCCTGGACTTCCTCGGTGGTCGCCCATCCAAGGACCAACCAGGGCCGATCCTGCTTAGCTTCCGAGGTCTGATGAGACTGGGATCGTCTCAGCTATCCAGGCCGGGGCCTTCAAAGATTCGACTGCTTGTCTTGGGCCCTCTGCTGTTCCATATTCCCCTCTGCCCGTCCCTCCCTCCCCCAGGGGGGCATTTGACCAGAACACCTTGAACTCCCACCACCTCTTTCCTCTCCCCCACCCTTCTCCAAGTTGAGCCCGTCTACCGGTCGGCTCCCCCTCCGCTCCCCCACATCCCGGCACCCCCAGCCAGCCAGCAGCAGGTTTACCCAGAGAAATCTTCTCCCCGGAGTCGGCCGGGAGCAGGAAGACGAGGAAGGTCATGGCCGAGAGGAGCAAGCAGGGCACCAGCATGTTGAGGGCGTAGTACAGGGTCCGGCGACGCATGGTCACCGCAAAGGTGACGTCCAGGTAGGGTTCCCAGCAACACTCGTAGAAAACTTTGTTCTCGCTGCCGGGAACACCTGTGGGAGGAGGGGGAAGGGAGCTATTTGTGAGGTGTTTGTGAATTCCCTGCATTGTGCAGGGGGTTGGACTAGATGACCCGGGAGGCCCCTTCCAACTCTATGATTCTATGTTGCAGTGCACATCTATTTACATAATTCAGGATCATTTTCTGCATCTTCTGTTCTGTTTCTGCATCTTCAAGCAGCCCAGCTTTTGGGCACAAAGAAAGGAGCGGTGGCGGAGGCAGACGGAGGGAGGGGTCACGGAGGGAGGGTCACGAGGTCGAGCGATTTGAGCCGGGGCTCGCTCCGAGCGCCCCCCTTACCCACGAGGTCCCACTCCCCGTTGGCGACATAGCCCGACGTGTCCGCCTCCATCATGTGCAAGACCAGCAGCCAACCGTCGTAGGTCCAAGAGCCAAACTTGAGATCGCACTTCTGGGTGTCGAAGGGGAACCAGCGGACGTCGATTCGGCAGGTGCTCTTCAAGATGCCTGGAAGGACAGAGACGGGGGCAGGGGGGGGAGGAAGTGGCCATGAAATTATAGGGAGGGACGTGGGCCGTCAGCGCTAACACTGACTACGAAAGCCGGAAAAGAGAGAGTCCCCTCTTCCAAGCTTATCCCAAGCAAAGAGAGTCGTTTCCCTCAAACTGACACCAGGGGGCGATACAGGATTAGCTAATTCTTCATAACTTTCCTCCATAATACGTGGTATCTAGCATCGATTTTTGCGCACGCTTAATGTTAGGTTGAGGAGCTGCGGTGGCTCAAGTGGTTAAGAGGCTGAACTGCAGGCTGTGGAAGGTCAGTAGTTCACCAGTTCGAGACCCGGGTGCCGCATGACGGAGTGAGCTCCCGTCTCTAGTTCCAGCTCCTGCCAACCTAGCAGTTCGAAAGCAAGAAATGGCAAGTAGGTAAATAGGTACCGCTTCGGTGGGAAGGTAACAGCGTTCCGTGCGCCTGGGTGTTTAGTCATGCCGGCCCCATGACCACGGAAACGTCTTCGGACAGCGCTGGCTCTTTGGCTTTGAAACGGAGATGAGCACCGCAACCCTAGAGTCGGACTCGACTGGCTTTCAAGCAAGGGAAACCTTTACCTTTAATGTTAGGTTTGCGACACCCCTGTAAAGGGGGGTCACTGCGATTCTGTCCCTTCCCGCATTGCACGTTGCTGTTTGAGTGTGTAAACTGGCATCAAGTTGCAACCCGATTTCTGGAGACCCCGTAAGGCTTTCAAGGGAAGAGACGAACAGAGGCGGTTTGCCGTGGCCTGCCTCTGCGTCGCAACCCTGGACTTCCTTGGCCCACCAGGGCCAATCCTGCTGAGTTTCTGCAAGCATGCTAGCCTGAGCTATTCCAGGGTATTCAAACCCTTCCTCTCATCCAAAAGAGGGCCCTAGGGCAGCCAGCAAATTTCTATACTATGGGTGACAAAATCATAGAATCATAGAATGTTAGAGTTGGAGGGGACCTTGCAGGTCATCCGGTCCAACCCCCTGCACTCTGCAGGAGCAGAGCTGAAAGAGAGCCCTACCACATACGCGAAAGATGGTCGTGCAAGCCCCCACCCCCGGGGTCTCTCACTGAAGCCCCCAGTTCAAGATTCTGGGGAGGGTTTACAGATGGGAACCGTTACATCACACCAGGTTGGGTTTTTCACGCAATCATCTCTGGCCCCTGGCCAGTCTAAAGTCGAACGAGAGCCAGTGTGGTGTAGTGGAGAAGGAGGAGGAGGAGGAGGAGGAGAAGAAGAAGAAGAAGAAGAAGAAGAAGAAGAAGAAGAAGAAGAA